ATGCCTCTCCTCCCCAAGAGTCCCTGGCATGCTCCGGTGGGCGAAGGACAGGACAGGAACAGCCTCCTCCACCCCCGCCCCAATCTCATGGGATTTTCACAACCTGCAGCAGGGCAGGGGACTCAGAGCCTAATACCCCGTGCAAATGCGGAGACTGAGTCCCAGAGAGGGGATGTGGCTTCCAGGGGTGGGGACCTAGAGCCAGGCCAGAGACAGGAGTGAGGACACTCCCAGAAGCTGGAGCCACAGGAGGCAAGACCCTGGCCCTCTGTCCCGGCTTCGTCTCTGTCTCTTTGTCTTCCGGTTGGGTGTCCCCAGGCTCATCAATGTTCAAAACCAAATGTCTCCGCTTCTGCCCAAACCAGCCCCCCTCCAGTGGTCTAAGTTTCAGGCACTCCACTCAAGCAGACGCTCTGGCCCTAGTCCTTGGTCTCTTTAACGTCTCCCTCACCCTTCCCACAGCGCCACCTGCCTGTCACCATGTCCTGTACGTCTGACTCCTGAGTGGCATCTCCCCCTCCTTCCCCACCACACCTTTGTCTTTGTCCAAGCCTTCGGAGTTTCTCTACTGGTTACATCAACAGCCTCCTCACCCGCCTCCCTGCCTCGGGCTCCCCACAGCAAACGCGCCCTCCTCTCTGCAGGCAGAGTGATCCTTGATCCTTTTTTTTTTTTTTAAGATTTAATTTATTTTTAGAGAGGGAAAGGGTGGGGGAACAGAAACATCAACATGTGGTTGCCTCTCACGCGCCCACTACTGGGGACCTGGCCTACAACCCAGGCATGTGCCCTGACTGGGAATCGAACCAGTGATCCTTTGGTTCACAGGCCAGCGCTCAATCCACTGAGCCACACCAACCAGGGCCACAGCCTCTTTCTGTAAATAAAATTTATCTAAACACAGCCACACCCATTCCTTTGCTTGTTGTCCTGTGGCATTTTGCACTAAACAGCAGGGTTGAGTAGTTGCAATGGAAAGTGTGTGGCCCCCAAAGCCTAAAGTGTTTACTACTTAGCCCTTCATGAGAAAAGTTTACTACCCCTTAACAAAAAGTAAAACATCAGCCAACACTCACATCAGAACTACATGTGGAGAAATGGGTATTAAACACTTACCAGCATATCGCTGCCTGAAGGTGCTGCGCCCATTCAAACCTCCATTCTGTGCCCACAGTGCTTTTTTCTTCTCCACCTGGAGTGCTCGAACCCATTCTTCAAAACCCAATTCGCGTGTCCCTTTTCCCATGCTGTCTGTATCAGTTAGCTATGTGCTGTGTGACAAACCACCCCAAAATATAATGGCTTTAAAAAATGATTTCTCCCTAGATTCTGGTTCATTTCTGTGGCTCCACTGACCTGGGCTGAGCTGGACTTCTCTCATTGTGCTGAGCTCACTCATGGACCAGCCGTCAGGGGGGCTGGGGGCTGGGGGCTGGGGGCTGGCTGGTCTGAGATGGCTTCAGCCACGGTGACTCAGCTGTGCTCCATGTGGTCTCTCTTATGGTTTCTGTTTGTCTATCTGTTTAAATAACAGTTATTTCTCACAGTTTCTGGAGCTAGAAGTTTGAGGCCAGGGTACCAGCATGGCCAGGCTCTGGGAGGGTCCCCTTCCAGGGTGCAGAGAGTCAACTTCTCTTTGTAGCCTCATGTGGTAGAAGGAACACAGGAAAATCTGGTCTCTCTGATCTTCAGCAGATGAGCTTGGGCTTTTTCTCACTGGCCAAGTGTGGGTCCAAGAGAGTAGGGGAAATGGCAAGTTCTCACTTCAGCACTTCCGCCACATTTGATTGGCCAAAGCGAATCACGAGGCCAGTTCGTATTCGAGGAGCAGGGACAGAGATACTGAGGTCACATTTCAAGGGGCATTCTGGATAGAAGGTGGGGGCAGAACTGGGGCTATTTATATACTCACTCTGTTTCCCCTCTTTCCCTGGTGCTGCTCCTGACTCAGGGTCCCTGCAGCACCGCTCGGAGGCAAAACAAAAGCACTAACATAAGCACTTGGCTAATGTACGGAGTCTTCCAGGGACATCGGTTCATTTGCCTTTGCGTGTGAAGCCACGAGGCATGGATGGAGCTCTAAGGCTCTTCTAAGGAAGAACACTGGCAGTTTGTATGTCTTTTAAAGTTACTATATCAGCCAGGGTTTGATCAGAGAAACAAAGATATGGGGAGCCATTATATATGGTAAAGATGTATTGTAGGGAGAAGCCCCTACGTCATTGTGAGGGTTGGTTATATAAGACCACTGTCTCTTTAGCTGGTGCTGGAGCCGGAAGCAGCTGGCAGGCAGCTGGGACAAATGTGCGGGGGGGGAGGGGGGTGCAAGAACACACCGGCATCTGCGAGGATGAGCCAGAACCCACGGCACGGACCAGAAGCAGCAAACACATTTTGCTGCATCTCAGCCTCCAACTTTGATGATGCATGGGACCTACAGGAGAGGCTGGCCCACTGTCCGGGGGCTAAATGTACACTGGGGACGAGAGTGACAGAAGTTGGAGGGTCTGGCGAAAGCTGGAGGAGCTGTAGACCCAGCTGCTGCCAGCAAGGTGAGCCGTCAAGGAAGGTCATTGCGAATGAGCTGTGACTGCTTCTGGTGGCCCCGCGCCAACCTTCCCAGTGGGAAAAGGATACAACTTCTCTTTCACTCCTACTCTCCAAATCTCACACAAAATGTCACTCCTGGCCCCTGCTAAGTCAGGACTGCAGGGGAGAGAATTCTGGGAAGCACAGTTCCAGCACTGCTAAAACCACAAATTCACTGCTGCCACAGATGTTAATTTGAATATAATACCTGTGGAGACCAGTTAGTACCGGAGGCCTTAAGAGACCCAAGGCCACAAACCTGAGGCCCTTGGGTGTGGGCTGTGGTTATTCCCCCATCCCAGAATGTACTGCGAGATTAGTCCTCAGCAGCTGGCAGAATCCCCCGCCAGTTCCCTGACCCTGCAAAAAAGGGGGCCAAGTGGAAACCCCTGGAATGTTCTTTCTGGCCCTGCCAAGTTATAAACCCAAAGTGAGAGCACAGCGCTGGGAGAATATCAGAGATTAGTGCCACCACCGAGGATGTGAGAGACGCAATGGTAGTGATTCTAAATACATCTCCTTATAACTCACCTTTTTTTACAGACGAAAAAGGAAACTCAGTGACGTGGCGATGCCAATCACAGCTACAGGTCTAGATGCGATATCTTCCCTGGAGAAAGTCAACACCAACCCCGCAGCCGGTGTGTGGCTGTTGAACTAGCAAGTGCTTTCTCTTCCAGTCCCCTGAGTAGGGTGCATTGCACTCAGTCTGCATTTACCGAGAACAGGTTTTTCCATTCTCCTGCAAACTGCGAGGTCCAGAGGGACCACAGGAGTTTTGACAACACAGAGAACACTATGCCGATACATTCAATTGATGCCATTATGCCAACTGGACTCTGAGAGGAAACATCAAGCACCTCTGGTGCTGTAGACATGGGTGTGCCAGGGAGCTGGAGTCGAACCCTCTGGAAGTTCAAGGGCCTGCCATAGCGGGAAAGTTTCTAGGGCAGCAGAGGTCTGGGGAATGTCAGCTATCTTTCAATGTGAGAGTCCTGTCCCTGTTCCCTACACCATACACCAGAAAGAGAGGAGGGATACACGGAATGTCTTTTGGATTTTGGAGCCAACACATATCACTGGCGGACAAGGTGTTTTGACTCATGTACGGGGTAAACTATAAATATGACAGTGTTAGGTCTGGATCTAAAATAGGCTCTTCAAAAGGCTCTAATACAAGCTACCCTACAACTTGGGCATCGTGCCTGGTATGTCCACGTGCCTGACTTAGGTGTCAGCCAGAGATGCCATGCGGAACCTCTGGCAAGTCCCTATAGGAGTATCAGAGTTACGCCTCTTGGAGTTTCAGCCACGTTGGCCTCTGCCAACAGCTCTACATTCTGAAAAGCAGTTTCTGGCCAGTCACTGGACCTTGGTTTATGGAACTGGCCTGACTGCCTGGTTTATGGAATACCAAGTGATTATGGGAATCAAACCTTCTTGATAAACCGGGTGTTCTCTGAGCCCCAGAATCGTGAAATTGGACTCGCACAGTTGCATCCCACTGGGAACTGGAGCGGGTTGTACGATACCGCGGCTAAGCAGATCCAGAACGCACAACGAACCAGCCAAGCAGGTACCTGCTGCCGAGTCCGTGGTGCTTGTCCACAGCCGCCCCTCCTCTCCCTTAGTTTACACTCAACAGCTACAAGGGGAAGAGGGAACATGATGTATGGGAGGCTCTGCACCGCAAGCCGGGGCCAGCCCCGTTCGGAGGGTGCCCTGGAAGTTGGTGGTGAAAGGAACGAACACCAACCCCAGTGGGAGGAGCGCGGGGCAGTACTCGGGTTATCCTCTTGGTGCGGAAGGAAAGACCTGTGGTGCAGACTGACATGAGCTCATGAGCAATGTCTGAGGGGCTGGCCACTGGTAGAGACTTGGAAAGAACACAACTGGGAACTCAATGATGTGTTTGTTGGCTCAAGACAGAGGTCTGCGGAAGGCTCCTGAAAATGCGCGCAGAGTGGAGCATATTCATGTCCCACGGGGAGGCGATCGGCAGCGGTGGCAGCGTCCTCACCGTGTAAGATGACCTGTGCTGTGGACTCGGCCTGCCTCTTTCCCCAGGCAGTTGGTGTTTCTCAACGGACCCATGGGAAGGGCGAAGCCACTGGCTCTCTGTGTGTGACAGTAGATTTCTGTGCTCTTTGTCAAGCTTTGCCATTGACCTCATGGGTCGCTTTGGGCCGGGCCCTTCCCTTTCCTTGACCTCAGTTTCCCAAGTTTACAGTGAAGGAGTTAGTCTCGATGATCTTTGATTCCGAGCAGCAGCCCAGTGGGTGGCATTTGTGAGTGAGGCCTTGGAGGGGGTCTGCCGGTGACATCACAGAGGGGAGAGTTCCTGGAGAAGAGCCGGGCCTTCCTAGAAGCCCCGCTGCCACGGCTTCGGTGAGACGGGCCGTCCGGCCAGGGGCCTGCTGGGCTTCCGTCTTGAGCTCTTCTCGTTCAGGGTTCCCGCTGTCATCATGGATCAACCTTCGGCGGCTGAAAGGGCTCCAAACGAGGCAGATGCCAGTGACCTGGATGTGTCCTCTGACGCCGGCGCACCGCCCCCGCACCACAGGTCTGATCACAGCGGAGCCCTCGGCCATCGCAAGTCCCGTCACCACCGTGTGTCCTATCACACCGATGTGCCCCAGCACCGTGGTGGGTCTCACCACCACAGTGAACTCCAAGACTCCCCTAACCGTACCTCCTCCGGCCATTCGCACCTCCACCACCACCACCACTCCCCGCGGCATGGCGGAGCCCACCGCTCCGCGTCCCCTGCCCCGTCTGCTTCCCGTGACACTGTCCCCTCCCGGCACTCCTATGCTGAGGACCTCTCTGATGACGAGCGCCAGCAGAGTAGCAGGAGGCCCAACAGTAGACCCTTCCACCGCAGTGAGTCCCGCCCCCCCGGGGGGCCCAGCCGCCACAGCAGGCTTCACCGCCTCAGTGACATTTCCCACCACAGTGGGCTCCCCCCGGAAGGTCAGCCTTACTCCCACAGAGAGTCCTACCGTGACAGTGAGGCCTCTGACCAAGGGGGGCCCCAGCACCATGATGCTTACGACCAGGGCAGACGCCGAAATCATCAAGCCCCCCACCACAGAAGGTCTATTCTCCATGGAGAGACCCATCCCCACCCCGCCTATGGGGGGTCCTCCCACCAGGCCATACCTCACTACTCCAGCGAGCACCGCCGCGGCCACCGTGGCCACCACGGCGAGCACCGCCACAGAGAGCACCAGCATGGCGCCCAGGGCCACAACGGTGCCCACAGTGGGCACTACAAGGAGTACCACCACGCCGGCGCCTGGGGCTTTGGCCTGTTCAGGTCCCGCAGCTCGATCAGGGTCAGCCCGGCCCGCTCTCCCTCGGCAGCCCTCCCACCTGGCCAGGTGCGCACACAGAGCTTGACTCGACCCCACCCTGCAGTGCACCCACGTGCTGCCAAGGACTCCGGCAAAGTTCATCCTCAGGATTCTGTCTCTAAAACCTCAGGAAGCTGGGCTGAAGATGAGCAATTTCAGAAGCGCAAAAGTGAGTCTTCACCCTCCCCTCCAACTCCCACCGCCCGACCCAGACTCCAGACGTCGCTCAGGCCCTGCACTGACCTTGCAGGGACTGAGGCTTGACTCCCTGCAGGTGTGTCTGATTGGCTGTCCACTCACCTGACCTCGTGGTCCAGTCGTTCATTCCTAGGAGTAGGCACCTCTTCCAGACATCAACTGTTTGTTCATTCAGTCACTGCTTTATTCATTCACATGTTTACTTCTTGAACATTCCATCTCATCTAATATGAGTACCTGGCCTGCCTGGACCTTGGCAGCACAGGGAAGACCAGCCCCCCAAGGGGCTTCAAGGCCAGAGGTGGTCGCTTAACCAACTAATCCCAGACTACCCTGGGATGGAGACCTACCCTCCATGTCAGACATCTGTGGATTCTATTTTTCTGTCTTTCCCACCCTAAACTGGGAGCTTCTTAAGGACAGACACCAGGGAGCAATACCTGAATGAGGGCCTTGTTTGAGGGCAGGGAGGGACCTTGACTGTTAACGCTTGGCCTCTAGTAGTTCAATAAACATGGCAACAGCCACACAGACAAGCAGAGGTGGGTGAATGTCTAACAGACCGGAGGGGGGGGGGTGTAGGGAAAGCAGCCAAAGGAAGATATTTCAGCAGAATCTTAAAGGGAAAGGGAGAGTTTACCCAGAGGATGGGGTGGTGTGGAGGACTGGGTTTTCCACACAGAAGTTGCCATGTGAGTAAAGAAAAGTGTGGAGGTATAGGAGCATGCACCCTCAAGAGGTGCTCAAGCAGACCCCGGACCCCAAATGGGCTGGCATCTACTGGGGAAGGAGTCGGGCCTGTGGCCCCGGTACCAGTACAGGGCCAACACAGAGGCCCCTCAGTGAGGGAGTGGCAAACGAGCAGGCAGGCGTGAAGATGAAAAGCAGCCCAGCCTGAGAGGAGGCTAGGGGGCCCCAGGGCCTGGTCCCCTACGCACTTGACCTTCTGGCTCCCTTACAGCCGGCAGGGTCCAGCGGGCTCACAAGAAGCTGCACAGTTGGTTATGGGAAACATTCAGCAACCTCTTTAACGGCCTGCGGAAAATGCTCAGGAGCATGACTGACTCCCTGGTCTTCGACGCCTTCATCTTTCTTGTCGTCTGCCTCAACACCATCATGCTGGTGGCCCAGACCTTCGCTGAAGTCGAGATCCGGGGCGGTAAGAGCCAGGATCCATTCACATGGAGGAGGAGGCTATTGATGTCGACTCAGGCTTCCCGGAGCCTCAGTGCCGAGTGATTCGGATCACTGACCTTAACTGAATCTCACCCCTGGGAGGGGACGACATTGTTAGAGATGAGGCAGGCGCAGAGAGATAGCTGAGGTCCGCCCGCCAGCTAGAGTCAGAAAGGCCCGCGGAGGTGCAGGGTGTGCTGTTTGCGGCCTCAGCCACGAGGTGGCGCGCCCGCTCTCAGGATGCTGCTGTGCCCGGAATGGTGCCGGGAACCCGGGAGGGCTCCAGGGGCAGGAGATTCTGAGTAGACCCTGGAGCCGTGAGAGCGGAAAACCGGAAAAGGCGGCCCCTCAAACCCGTGTCGCAGGTTGAAGCACAGGACATACGCTAAGGAGAGAAGGAGAAGAGGACGAATGGCTGATATTTCTTGCATGCTCCCTGGTGCAGCCTCCATTATAAGCATTTTACTGTGTTAAATGCCTTTCGCGCTCGTGAAAACTCTTATCAATCTGGCTGTTACTTTCACCGTGTACAGGCGAGAAAACTAAGGCACAGAGCAGTTAGACACACAACTATCTGAGCAGAGTGAGGCTCTCCCCAAATGGCTGTGTGTGTGGTTCCCGTGGGAAGGAAGGGAGAGGGGCCAGGGCTGCCAGGGGATGACCTGAGTAAGCCCCTGGTGTCCCTGCAGAGTGGTACTTTATGGCCTTTGACTCCATTTTCCTCTCCATCTACGTGGTGGAAGCTGTGCTCAAGATCATTGCTATGGGCCGCGACTATTTTTATGACGTCTGGAACAACCTAGGTGTGTGGGGATGGGGTCGTCTGTGTGTGTGTGTGTGTGTGTGTGTGTGTGTGTGTGTGTGTGCCACTGAGCTGCCTGAGGGAGACTAAGGACTACGAAAGGGGATGGGAGCAGGGTGCGGGTGTTGGGGGCGCTGTGGGTGGCACTCAGGCGCCCTGTGCCCTCAGACTTCGTCATCATGGTCATGGCCGTGCTGGACTTCTCACTCATGCAGTTCAACTCCCGCTCCTTCAAGCGCACCATCTACAACCAAAGCGTCTTCCGGATCTTCAAGGTCTTCAAGAGCCTGCGGGCCCTGAGGGCCGTTCGGGTCCTGCGGAGGCTCAGGTCAGCTGGGCCACAGCTGCCTGCCCTGGCATGGGGATTCTGAAGGAAAAGGCACCAGGTCCTGGACTTGTTGCAGGAATGGGGGAGGGAAGGCCGCAGACTCCAGCCCGTCTCTGACAGGCCTCCTGTTGGATCATCCTCTCTGTCTTCCAGAGAGGGGCCCGGACTCTTCCAAGTCATTAGCACATCAGGGACCCCTTGGGTTCAGCACCAGCTCTGGCTTCTGGGCACAGATCCCGACTGCTACTGACTGCCTCCCTGTCAACCTCTGCCCACAGCTTCCTGACCAGCCTCCAGGAAGTAACTGGGACCCTGGCGCGGTCTTTGCCATCCATTGCTGCCATCCTCGTCCTCATGTTTACCTGCCTCTGTATCCTGTGCTGTGCAGGCTGGGGCGAGAGCCTGCCAGGCTGTGGTGGGATGTGGGGTGGGGCAGGGACCTGGGGCAGGAGAACAGGGCGAAATAGGCCCTGCGAGCCTGGTTTGGCCCTGACAGCCAGTCCTCTTCTCTGTGGTGCTCCGGGCGATGTTCCGCCAGTCTGACCCCAAGCGTTTCCAGAACATCCTCACCACCATCTTCACCCTCTTCACCTTGCTCACTCTGGACGACTGGTCCCAAATCTACCTGGACAGCCAGGCCCAGGGTGGGGCAGGCCCCGGGCTGGGTGCAGGGAAGGAGGCTGGCCCGGTGGGCAGACCCTGAGGGCTGGTTTCCCCATCTCCAAAGTGGGGCTTCTGATGCTTGCTGGCAGCGTCTCGGTGAGGGCCGGCGGGGAACTCACAGCTCCAACCCTCTCCCCCACTCCCAGGGGCCTGGCACATCATCCCCATCCTCATGGTTTACATCATCATCCAGTACTTCATCTTCCTCAAGTAAGGACCCTGCCCTGCTCCACTCTCAGCTCCGATCCCCTCCCCCACCCGACCCGGGGGAGCAGTCCCTCCCAGCCCTCTCACCCTGGTCAGGCCAGGATGAACCGAGAGAAGGTTGCTGGCCTCTCCTCCAGCCTCGCCTTTGAGAGCACCCCACTGTTCCCCCCACCTCCAGCCTCGTGATCGCCGTCCTGGTGGACAACTTCCAGATGGCACTGCTCAGGGGCCTGGAGAAAGTGAAGCAGGAGGTGCCGAGCGGGTGGGGCTGGGTGACCAATCAGGGAAGCAGGAGGGAGGTGTGCAGAGGCTGGAGGGCGGGCAGGCTGCTGCTGGGGGCAGGGGCGGGGCAGGGGTGGGACTGACAGGACTGAGGGCTCTTCTTCCCAGAGGGCCGCCAAGATCCAGGAGCCGCTGCTGTATGAATCGCTGGCAGAGTTCAGCAGCGCAGGTATCGGCCCTCCCCGCCTTCCGCACTTGGGCACAGGATTCCAATTCAGACCCCTCCTTGACCTCCCTGCTCTTTCTCCGCACCCAGAGGCTGAAGAGGTGATGAGTGAACACGCCAAACAGAAGCACTTCCTTGAGAAGAAATTTGGGACCATGACTGAGAAGTAATGGGACCTGCAGGGCAGGGGGAGCCTTGGGTGTGAGGGGAGAGTTCTGGGGCCCTGGCAGCTGGTCTGGCAGGGGGTGGAGCACTGAGGTTTATGCAAAGCCTGCGGGTCAGATGTGTAGAACATGAGTGGCTTCCACCACCAGGAGTTGTCCTATGCCACTGTGTCCCCCAGCAGCCCTGAAAGGGCCGTGAGAGCCCCGCTGAGCCCAGGGCCCACGGGCAGAGGCCACAGAGAGGCCCTGGGAGCAGTGATTCTGCTCATCTTCTTACGCGAGGAGCACCCAGGCCCTGTTCTGGGCCGGGCCCTGCCAGGATTCCAGGAGCACAAAGAGGAGGCAGATGAGTGAGCACCTGCCCATGCGGCCCCGCCTCACGGTTGTGTTGGCCTTTGGCAAAGTGCAGGGATGAGGCGGGTGGGTTAGGGAACAGCCTGGGTCAAGGCGGGTGGGCCATAGCCCATTTCCACAGACGTGAGTGGTCAGCTGGGCCAGGACAGCTAGGGGCTCAGGGTTGTGCTCGGGGTTGGGGGCACCTTGGTGCAGGCTCCTGCTGCCTGGCTCCCAGAGAGCCCTGTCTCTGGACAGTGGGCCTCCCCCCACCTCATCCAGACTGGCTCCAAAGCAGTGGACAAGGCCACCTGACTCCTGCACCCACCCGGCGCTCGTCCCCCGCCAACAGAGCCCAAGCCCCAAGGGGCCCCTGTGATCAAGCCTTTGCCAACCTTGCTCATGTGACTGCAGCCACCACCGCCCCTCACACCCTCGCTGCGCCCAGCGTTTCCCAAGCGGAGCACATAGTTCTCCGTCTCTGGGCCTTTGCCCACTGTCCTCTCTCCCTGGAATGGTCTCGGCTTGCTGATGCCAGGCTCCAGGGACCAGGAGCTGGGAGAGCCGAGTTCCGATCCTGCTCATTCCACCTCCCGGCCCCACTGTCCACCCTCCACACTACAGCTTCCCGGCCACCAGCCTCACCTGGGCCCTTGGTGCCTCCGCCACCCTTCCCTTGGGGGCCTCAAATCCTTCCCCACTAGTCCACCTCCACCAAGAGCACTCTGTTGTGTTGTGTTTGTTTGTTTAAATCATTTTTCCCCCTTTTATTTATTTAGAGAGTGCTCCTTGTTAAAGAGCATTTTTTACTTTTCCCTCCTCCTGAATTTGAAACCCTACAAGTACCCCTGCCTCCCCGAGGATACGGTCCAGGCATCTTGCTCTGACCCTGCCTGGGTGCCTCCACCTCCATCCAGCCCTTCCTGGAAACCTCCCCCCAGACCCCAAGGCCTGCCCCGGCCCCCCAGGACGTGCCCCGTGGTTCTGGAATAGGGAACCGGGGGCCCTGCCTGAGCCTAGCAAACGCTCACGTCTTTCCAGTTCAGCCAAGCAGCTCTCTCCGGGAGCCCTTCCTGATCCTGTGTTTGCACTTATCACAGCATAAACACACTTAGTTTGCTTTTCTGGCTCTGCGCAGACTGCACTTCTTGAGGGCAGGGGCTATTTCTTGTTTATGCCCATGTTCTCCAAGCGCCTTGCAGCCTAGGTCGGTTTCAGTGTTATCTGCTGGATGGGTCGGTAGGACAGGCAGGTGGCGAAGGCATTAATGAATGGGCAGCAGGGTGGGTGAGTGGGGGGAGGGTTAGGTGGATGACCGACTGTACAGCATGGTGAAGGGGTGGGGTGGGGGTCCAGGGAAGAGCAGGGTGGATGGAGGGATAGGTGAGTGAGTGAAAAGGTGGGGTGATCAGATGGGCGAGTGAATGAATTGGGGGTGAATGGGTGCACGGGGAGGGATGGGGTAGTGGGAAGGGCAGGCAGATGGCAGAAGGGTGGAGGGATGAAGGATTGGGAGGACGCACAATTAACACTCTCTGTGGTACAGGCAGATGGGGGGGGGCGAGGAGAGGCAAGGCCACACTCAGAAAAGTGTGGTCACGCCTGGGAATGGAGGTCAAGGGTGATGTGAGTGTCTGGGTGGGGGCGGGGGAGGCAGGCAAGGAGAACCATCTGGGGGCTCTGGGGCCTCGCAGGCCCAGCCGGGCAGGTAGGCCAGGGCTCGCCTCTGCCCCCTCCCCACAGGCAGCGGGAGCTCCTGTTCCACTTCCTGCAGCTGGCTGCGGGGGTGGAGCATTACCAACAGAAGTTCCGCTCCCAGGCATCAGTCATTGATGAGATCGTGGACACCGCGTTTGAGGTGACCCAGGCAGGACCGGAAGGGAGGGCTGGGGTAGGGGAGGCCCTGAGAGGCCAGGCGGGGGGGGGGGGGGGGGGCATGCCCACAGCGGCCCTGAGTCACAGTCCCATGGACATTTGAGAAGGCAGAGGCCGGCGGCTCAGACCCCCTCCCATCCCGCCCTGCAGGCTGGAGAAGAAGACTTCAGAAAGTGACCCCTGGATGGTGACGGAGGGTACAGACTTCGGCCCCTGGCATGCTGCCCCCTGGGGCGGGTGGGGCAAGTCCCCAGACATGCTGGAATGGTTGTCAAGGCTGCGGGGCTGGGCCCCAACAGAGTGTTGAAAGCCCAGCTGGCCCCGCGTCTTCACTGGCTGGGCCGGGCGTGGGCAGGAGGACCTGTGTGCGTGCACGTGTGCGCATGCGAGTGTTGTGAGGGACGGGCGCTGTCCATGCCCCCCACCCCGGCCCCGCCAGGGCCCACGCCCCAGCCTGGCCCACAGGGGTGAGCTGGAAGGCAGGTCGGCTCAGCGCCAGAGGCAGAGTGGGCAGTCATCCTGCTTCGGGGAGGAAGCCGTCTCTGGCCCAGGAGTCAGGAGAGAAAGAACCAGCTGAAATAGGCCCCCTATTTCAGGATGTAGGAGACCCATAGAATCCAGAAACGGGGACTTAGAGCTCAGGAATTCAGGCCTAGCAGCACCTTCAGTACACACCAGAGGGATGTCATGAGCCCAGAAGTCCCAGGTGCCTGGGCCTGTGCTGGGGGCCGGAGACCTAGCACCAAGTCAAGCGCACACCCAGCCCTGGCTCTGGGGGGCTCCATCCAGAGGGGGTCTCCCACTACCTACAGCACCCACCTCACCTCTGGTAGCGTGAAGCCATCATGCAGCACAGGCTGGAGGGCGTCAGGAGCGGGACTCCAGAGTGGGGCAAACAGTTTTGCCAACCGCCCCTGTACCTCTAAGCTGGACAGGATAGCGGCGAAGGCCCCAGGCCCCAGAACAGGCGCAGCACCTCCCCCTCCCTCCGGCCTGGTGTGGGCACTGGCTGGCCTAGGGCCCAGGACCCGGGGATGGCCATGCAGAGGACATGCCATCTGGGGTTTGGGCCACCTGGTGGAGAGGCCATCTGGCAGATGTCTCCAGGCCTCACCTCACTCCACCACCTCACACATTCATTCAATAAGCATTTCCTGCCACCTCCCTGTGCTGGCCGCATGCCGGAAGCTCCTGCTTGGTGACACGTGGGAGCCCTCCCATCAGCGGCCCTGCCACATGCCCCTGGTCTGTCTGAGCTGCAGCATCTGACAGGCTTGAGCAGAAGCGGGACTGGAAGTTTCTCCTGCAGCCCGAACCCTGGTCAAACCTGGCTCATCAATCTTCCATGTAGAAGTCACATCTACTTTCCACCTCCCGGTCCCCACCTCTAAGGCAGAGGGCAGGGCCTGGGCGCTGGGACTGTTCCTCACTAGGTCCCAGCACTGGGCAGGGGACCAGGCAGCCACAGCCTGGTGTGAGCCCTTGCCTGTCGGGAGCCGGTGGGCAGGGGTGGCGGTGCTCTCCACAGCCACTGCATTCTGCCTGCCTGGGCCTGACGGCGCCCACACCTAGTGCTCCCAAGGGATCCAGTCACCACCCCTCCCATCCCAGGTATGGGTGTCGGACAGCCCTGGGTGGAGCGTGTGGGTCTCTGGCGTTGTGTTTGGGAATCGAGTATGCATCCCCAGGTGGTTTCTGGGTGCAGGTGCTTCTGCGTGTTTGTGTCTGTGCTTCTGGGTTCCCAGGTTGTGTTTGTGTTTTCTGGATATGTGTGCAGTGTCTGGGAGCACCCGAGTGTATGTTCTGGGTTTCTCTGCATGTGCATGTCTAGCATGTTAAGGAGTTCTGGCTGTGTGTCAGGTGTGCAAACAATGTTGCCACTCTGTTTTCCTTAAATCGCTCCTGCCCCTTACTCCTCCTGTGGGCAGCAGGTCTGACCTCCGCCCCTGGAAGCTCCCAGCCCAGCCCCTTCCAGGGGTCCTGCCCAGGGCAAAGCACTGGAGAGCACTCTGGTGTGTGGCCCACGGCGTGTCCTTGAGAGTCACTGTCTCAGCCCTCCTGGTGTTGGCCTGCAGGGGCTCTACCATCTCTGAGCCACATGTGGGTAGAGAAATCTCACAGGCTGAGAGCTCAGAGTCCTGGGGCCCTGGTAGCTGACCTCCCCGCCCACACCTTGCCCCCCCCCCCCCGCTCCCTCTTATGCCACCCTGAGTTGTCCTGGGGCTGAGAGGGAGCAGTGCACAGGTGCTCCCCAGAGAAGTCACCCACTCCTACCTTTTCCTCTCCAATGGGGCACCATCCCTCTCCTGACTTTGTCTCCCACCCCTTAACTCTGAGAATATTGAGAATCTGGAGCCTTGTTCCTCTATGTCTGTGATCCTGGGGTGCTTGAAGGACTCCAGATTCAGGGCCGAACCCTGTACCCCTCAGCACTATCTGGGCTGGGGGTCGGAGGGGAGCTGCCGGGAGTGGGAGTGGTGGGCACAAGAGAGGAAGGAGTGAAGCACTCCGAAGAGATGACTGCGAGAAGCAGTGCTAGCAATTTATTGCAACAGACACGGCCCACTGACCGGAAGTGCCCTCCACCAATGGTCCCGCTCCCTCCCACACCCATGGCCTCGGGGGTTGACTACACGGGCACACAGTGATGCTTCAGAAGTCTGGAGGTGTTCTCCCAGGGAACTACCAGGATCTCGAAGTCGCAGCGCAGCTTCTGCAGGCAGAGCGTGGGAAGAGAAGGAGGGTGAGCCTGGGTCCAGGCCCGCCTCCTCCCAACAGTCGGCTCGGCCTACGGTGAGGGGCTGTCACTGGCTCAAGGGGCAAGTCAGATGGCAGAGACAGATCCCTGGTCTTTCTAGTCAGCTCGCTCACTCGCTGGGGAAGCCCCAGTCTCCTCTCCCCGTGGGCCGCCCCGACCTGGGGCTGAGTCATCCAGGAGGCTGGGAGAGGCTGCGTCTGGCCTCTACCTGGCCGGCCAGACCAGTTCAAGTTGGCCAACCTGAGGGCTTGGGGGTGCGGGGATGTTACCTCCTCCTGTGCTCCTGCGGCCAGCGGGCAGGTGGTGAGGTCCACGTGGTCTCCCGTCACGGCGCCCTTCTGGCAGGCCGTGCTCCCCATCTCCACAGTCAGATAGTACTTAACGCCAGCCACCAGCTGGGACGGAGGGCAGAGGCAGGTCAGATGTGCTGGGACAGTACCCCAGACCCCTCACAAGGGGTCTCCCAACCCCCTTCCCCCTCCCCAGGGCACACCCAGCACACTGGTCCTGGGCTTCAGACATGGGACAGGCCCATCCAGGCAGGGGTCCCTGGGAAGTGGGGCAGAGTCCAGGCCAGGCAGGAGTCCGACCCAAGTGCGCATGCCATCCTGAAGCCATTGGCCTCCCCTCCCTCCCCTCCCAACCAACTGGGCAGGGCAGGGACTAGTGTGAGGCTGGTGAAACAGCTGTGCAAGTCAGGGTTGGATGCTGTGTATTTGGAATGTAGGTATTTTGTTCATTGTGAATTTTTGGGATGAATTTAATTTTTAAAACTTATCTGTCTTATTTTATAAAAAAAATATGTTGCGTTTGCTCTGACTGGTGTGGCTCAGTGTATTGAGCACTGGCCTATGAACCCAAAGGTCACAGGTTGGATCCTGGTCAGGGCACACGCCTGGGTTATGGGACAGGTCCCATTTTTTTAAATGTTGTGTATCCTGATTACTCTGTGACTCTCCCCTAATGTGGCACGTCCCTCGCCACAGTCCCACCCCCGTCCTGTGGACCCAGCCTCACCTGGCTCTGCGCCTTGAGGATGCGCGTGTCTCGGAAGTAGTAGAGGCTGTTGCTGCCCATGTTGTAGCTGGCCACGGCCGCCTGCGCCGCCTTCTGCACCTGTGGATCGTTGGGCTCCAGGTCCCTCAGTCCTCCGACGAAGCCCTCCCTGCGCCTGGCCCGGGTGTCGTGGGGCAGCGTCAAGAGGCAGAACACCAGCAGGGCCAGGCCCAGCGTCCGAGGGATGTTAGGATGCGCCATAGTCGTCAGTGCCTGGCTATGCTGGCCCCACCGCTTTTAAGGGCTCAGGGCTCCGAGGCCCCGCCCAACCGCACACGGCCCCGCCCCGAGGCTGCCGTGCGTGAGGGCTACCCAGTCTGGCCAGCTTCCCAGCACACCTCTGAGCCACGATTCTTGCCCTGCCTTCTAGGACACACCCAGTCCTGGGAAAAAAAAAAAAAAAAAAAGGACAGTGGCACTCGCCCGCAAAAAGTGCCACTATTGGGACAGTTCACAGGAGGCCCATCCAGTCCGAAATATCGGCAGCTGTGAGAAAGTTCTTACTACCACCCAATCTACTAACAGTACCTCGGAGAATGTTCTTAACCTCTCACTGCCTCAGCTTGCTCCTCTGTAAAATGGGGCGCTGTGAGGACCAACGGGCAGCGTGCTCAGCAGGCACGGCCCGTGTCCACAGCGGGTAAGCAGGGGCAGGGCTGTGCTGAGCTGGATAGTTTGACCCTAACATGAGCACGAAGAGGGGATCTCCATTTCCACCCAACAGGAGGCAACAGTACACCAGGGACGACTGATTTGCAAGGGCCCCAGATGGTGAACAGTAAATGGTGGCACTGGCATTTGAGCCCCAACAGTCTAACTCAAACCTTTGCCCTTAAACTGCACTGAAACCAAAGCATAATTGGCCAGAAGGAAGGGTTTGTCACACCAGCTCGGCCACTTACTAACTGGGTGACTTCTGACAAGCCCCTTGAGCTTCCAGAGCCTCAATGTCCTCATCCGAAGGGGACAACTATTCCCTTCTAAGGTTCTTCTAGTAATAACTGGCCCAAGACTAGGTCACTCATAGGGAAGCCGGGCGTGGGCTGGAAGTACCAGCAAAACAGGACACTGTAGTTCTTCGAAGGGGGCGCAGTAATCTGGGAACATAAACAGCGCTGAGGTGAGCATGGAGCAGCCGGACTTTGTTGGGATGTCCCGTGTCCGGCTACGAGCACGGTCCTCACTCTTCATCCCGTGGGCGGGGGAGGCAGGCCTTTAGCCCGAGGGACACTAAGATTGGGTCAGTGCTTGGGGTTGAGGATCTGCATCCAGGCTTGACAGAGGTAGTGGTCTACAGGGCATCATGCACGGTTCACGCTGAGTAAGTGGTCCTTATTACAGCTGACCCTTGAATGACAGGGGTTTGCTCATGTGTCCTTATTACAGCTGACCCTTGAATGACAGGGGTTTGGGCTCATGTGTCCATCCACTTATGCATGTTCCCCCCCCCCCCAAGAAATACTGTAAATGTGTCCTTAGGATTTTCTTAACATCTTTTCTCTGGCTTAGTGTAAGAATACAGGGTATAATACATTCAACATACATATATGTGCGAGTGGCCTGTTTCATGTTATTAGGAAGGCTTCTGGTCAACGGAGAGCTATTAGTTTTGGGTGGCCGTTGGTGTTGAAGGGACAACCGTACCATGATCAATCAATGACTAAGCATCCAGCACCCGAGTGCGGTCATAGCCTGGTTTGGAAGCTGCCCCACCCTTTCCTCCCAGCTGTGAAAACAATCTTGGGATTCCAAGGAACCGTCACGTTTGTTGTGGGCTCAGGTGTCTGCCTTAGAGACAGACCCCAGTCTGTGAGCGAGCCAGCTGGCTCGAGGTGGGTTTGGGGAGGAGGCAGCAGGAACCTGACCTGAGAGAAGCCAGGAGGGGGATGATAAGAGGCCCAGGAGAGCAACACGGGACAGGAAGGGGCAGCTCCAAGGGGCCAGGAGTCTACTCTGCCTTTCCCAGGTCTGCTCTCCTGTCACTTGGACTTCAGCCACGACCACAGTTACCTCCAACTGCCTGGAAAACGAGCCGAGGCCGGGTCCCCAGCTCACTCGCCCCTACCTGCCTGCCGTTCCTCTGTGCGGATGCTGATCCTAGCAATCAGCAAAGACTTTTCCCCTGGTCTAGTCTTGTAAGCAGCACAAAGTAGTAAGCATCATCTTTATTTTGCAGATGAAGAAAGTTAACCAGAGAGGTCAGGACCACTTGTCTAAGCTCACAGAGCTAGGAGCAGGGTCTCAGAGAGGAGAGAGGGATGGGGGAAGGGAAGTAAACATTTACGGAACTCTTGGTATGTGCCAGGGATTCAACACAGGCGCTCTCATCCTCCTAGCAGCTCTGCAGAAGTGGTATTTCCTCTTTTTACAAGGAAGAAATTAGAGGACAAAGGGGAAGGGTCAGTCGTGGCACCCAAGGGCCAGTACCCTGCTGTGTTAGTCCCAGACTGCCCCCCCGGACTACGAGGCCTGCTATTCAGGCCTGTATCCCTGGAGGTGGGGTACCCCGGGAGGGCTTCCCGGGGCTGGACTCCACCCTGTTGACCCCTGAAGGATCACTCTGGCTTCCAGGAGGCCTGAGCGAGGTGTGAGCCCAAGGCTGGCCAGCCCCACTGGCCACAGGGCCTCCGGTTTTGCTGTAGCCGAGACATCCCAGCCCAAGGTGCCCAGGACACTGGCCCTGGCCAGTGGGTCTCACTGACCAGGGTGAGCTCTTGACACTCCCTTCACCCCAGGATCAGGCCACCAAGGGCCTTTATGCTGACCCCCTGAAACCCTCTCTGTTGAATCCTTAACCTTTATTCCTTACACCAGGGCTCTGCTCCCCTTTCCTGCCTGACCCCATCCTGGAAGGGAGACCTTGTGGCAGAGAGCTGCAGCCAGCAGGGACAAACACGCCCCTCCACGGAGCGTCTCCCCAAGTGCAGGGGCTCCGCCTTCCCTAGGGGCTGCACTTGACCCTCCCACACAGCTGAGCGGGGACTGCGGGCAGCGAGGCCCTCGCTGCAGGTTGCGCAGAGACTGAAGGAGGAGTGGAGACCAGACCTGGGCCCAGCTGGCTCTTTCGGGCTAAGCACCAGTCGCAGTCAGGATAGTCCTGGTCCTTGCAGAGGGGACAACGTGAAAGGGAGTTTGACGGTCACAAGCACACACTGTGAGCCTTCACACTCTAGGCTGCCACTGGGCTGGGGTTTGCGCTATAGCCTCCCCCAATTCCTTTCCAGGGGCGGCAGGACTCCCTTGGGACCCAAGTGCACGGGCAGGATGCACCCCAAGCTCTGGGCCAGGTCTGAACACTCACACTACGCTGACTGAGGGGGTCAAGCTCTGGCCAGGTGCAGTGGCAGCAGGGTGTGGGCAGGACAGTGACACTGAGTCAATACTTGCTAACTTCCAGGCCCACCTATGCCTGCCAACAACACAGGCCCTGTGGGACAGCGTGGGCTGACATTTCGATAAGCCGATTTCTCCCCGTCCCCACCTGCGTCCGTTTCCTCCAACACCCAGGCTGCTGGCTGAGCTGGGGCTGTGTCTGCGAGGCCAGTGTCACAATGCACATTCTAGATGCCGCATCTCCTGTTGTTCTAGTACTGATCCAGGAAGCCGTGTGGGAGGTACCAAGCGGCCCAGATAAAGGGTTTGGGCCTTCCCAACCTGTCGCAGGTACTGCCTGAGCCCTGAGGGAGAGGTGAGAAAGCAGGCTCCCCCTCTTCAGAGACAGCCTGTGGGTGGGGCGGGGAGAGCCCGCCACCTCGCAGAGCAGAGCAGCAGCGCATCCCACAGCTCCGGCAGACGGGCCCCAGTGCCAGAGCCAAAAGCAGCAAAACCAGGCAACCAGCGTGGGCGGGGCCCGCTGAGGGTGTTGTGGAGGAGGAACACCTCAGGGAGTGCGGACAATAGTTGGGCAGAATCAGGACCTGGCTGGGGAGAAGCCGTGGCCCTGCCGAGCAGCCCCCGCCCCCACCAGGGACACTAGGCTTGTGTGGCAGCATCAGAGTACAAGGGTCAAGGCTGAGGGGACTCTGAAGTGAACTTGGACACATCCAGGAAAACAGAGGAAACACAGTACGGCCTGAGGCTCCTGGGACAGCCCATATTTCCACCTCAGTCTGCGCTTCGGACTGGCGCCCTCCCAGGAAGCGGCCTGTAACACAAGCTGGGCCCTGCTGACCACCTGGTGCCCTTCCAAGGGGCCACCCACACTCCCCAGAGCCGGCCCCACACCAAGCCCTCTCCCCTACTAACCACCACCAGTCGCCAACTGCTGCACACGTGTCCCACCCCCAGGCCTCTTTGGTTTCCCTTCGATTCTTCGGCTGTTCCGAGGTGCAGCCAACATACGGAAAAGCACCCGGGTGGGTTCGCTTTAACGGTCAGTCGGTGCCCGTATTGGCTGCCGCTGCTGCTCCCAGGCCGGCCTACTCCTCACCCCTGCCCCAAAGGCAAGCACTGCTGACTTTTGCAACAAGCTTTTCTCAATTTACCACCTATATAGAGATCTCCTAGCAACAATTAACTTTCCAAGAATGGAAGCACACTACTCGCTGTTTTGAGATTCAACATTTGTATTGCAGCAAGTTCAAGTTCACTGGTGTGGCCAGCCATCAGTTGTCCAAGTTGGGGGCTGTTACAAAGCTGGTGTCTCGGCGCAGGTAGGTCCTGGGCCAGCCGTGGCAGTCCTTGGTCATAGCCCTGAGGGAGTGGAACTGCTGGGTCACAGGGTGGGCCTTCAGTTTTACCAGAAAACATCCGACTGTTCCCCCAGGATTCACACTGATGGCCGTCCCCTCACCAGCATGCGGTCCTGCCCCCTTTCCAGTCAGTGCACAACAGCACCTCACTCGCACTTCGAGGGCTTGTCCAGCATTGGGTGTCCCTCTTGGGGTTGCCTTTCAAGGCCCTCACCAGGTTCCCCACTGTTGCGCACTCTCCCTCACTGCAGTTCAGCACGCGCGCTGGACACAGCCCCACGTCTCTGTGCTGCAAATGCCCTTTCCCCCTCCGGGTCGGTCTTGCCCTTCACTCTGTGTGTTGTATCTTTAGAGAAAGTTTCTGTTAATGCAGTTGGATTTTGTCTCCTTCTCTTCCTACTTTTCCCTGCTGAGACCATGAAAATCTTTCCCATTACCCACTCCTGTACTGAATATGCCGGCCTCTCCTAAGCAGACAGTGTGGGGGATCGCAACTGGACTCTGTCTTGAAAGAACTCACGTGGGGGGCCTGAGTTTGACTCCTTGCTTTCAGTAAAATCCCGGAGTTGAAATTAACCTAGCCACATCTTTAAAGGAAAGAAGGTACAACCAACTATAACATCCTTTCTTTTCCCTTTTAAAAAAATATTTATTTTGAGAGAGGGGAAGGGAAAGAGAGAGGGACAGAAACATCAATGTGTGGTTACCTCTCATGTGCCCCCTACTGGGAATCGAACCAGCGATCCTTTGCTTCACAGGCCCGTGCTCAATCCACTGACCTACACCAGCCAGGGCCTTTCCTTTCCCTTTTACAGTTGTGCCGCTGAGTTATAACTCAGTGTGTGTCTTTACACACTGGGCTTAAGACTCATGGCTCTTGTTTTAATATCGCACTTCTTAAACCCAGCTATCACAACGCATCACAAGCCTTTGACCCAAGGCTGGGACACAGATAGCTCGGTTAGTATCAAGTGCTGTAACATCCTCTTTTAATATCGGTATTCTGCAAAATCATTACTTTGTCAAACGGTAACTACAGTATTTGTGTGTGCGTTGTTTTACAGGTCCCTTGAGTGATCCATGGACCATGGCGAACACCCGTGACTACCTCAGCGATCAATCGCTGCCAGATGACGATGGGGGACAATTGGCCTCGTCCACATTTCCAAGCCCTACACCCACCCCGAGCCCCACCCAATGTAACCCATCCACGAGAACCTGTTGGGGAACTCAACTTCTCTTTTCTGGCTAACTCCCTTGTGCACAAGCTTTTTAACATTTAAAAATAATTATTTCTTTTTAGAGAGAGTAAAGGAGGGAGAAAAGCAGAGAAATATTGACTGGTAGCCCTTCATTCGCATCCCGACCGGTGACCTTTCAATCTGTGGGCCCATGCCCTACCAACTGAGCCACACCAGTCAGGGCCACAAGCTCTTTTTAATAAACACTGTCTGCTCTATCTTATACTGAGTTCGGTGCTCATTTTTATGACAATGAGACTCAAGAACCTGACATTCAAGGTCTGGTGACACTGAGGACCATTCTGGAAGCAAGCAGTTCCTCTTGCTCTCCTGACCCTTGGACTAAAAGCCAAGCTGGGCCAGTGCTGCACAGCCAGCATTCCCTCTGATCACCCCAACAACCTCCTTTTCATTTTCCAAGTGGGGAAACTGAGGCTCAGAGAGGCGGAGTGGCGTGGCCAAGGTACACAGGGCTCACAGGTGCACGTTTCCAGGTTGTCTGAGGGCCACTGTGGTGCCTCCTACCAGTAAGACCATGAACGTACTACTTGTTAGTCTCTGAGCCCCTGGTTCCCTCGCCTGTGAAAGAGGAAACAATTACTTAATTACCGTGGAAGAAAGGTGCAAAAACCTTAGCTGTAGGCCTGGTTCACTAAGTGTTCAACCAAAAACAGGATAAAAGTGTAACTCACACCCACCCTCCCCACTGTGATACCCATGCTTTTCTGCCTCGCTAAGGTAGCAGGGCAAGAGCCCTGCCCACTCCTCCCAGAGGTCAGGACAGCCCTTGACAATTAGTAGTGGAACTTTTACCCACATTGGGCCCCACCCCTTCCTGTACCTTGGACTCCCACTGAGTTTTCCATCAGGTGCTACCTAGCCCAGCTGTTGACTCAACTGGCATCTGGAACAGCACAGCCCATCTGGATCCCAGGAAGGGGTCAACCCACACTTTCCCACATTATGAAGGGATTGAGACACTCCAAGGCACCTGTCCAAGGCTTGTGTGGCGAGGGTGGCTGTCCTCCAGAGTGAGGAGGAAGCTGGCAGTTTCGATCTGCACTGATAAAGGTGCAGCAGACCCATCAGCCCTGGGGAAGAGGCAACTCCCAACCCAGCTGCTTTTCAACCCACAGAGCCCAGTCTTGAAGGCCACTACTTTATTGACTCAAAAAACTTTATATGGACAGTGACTGTTCTCCCAAAAGAGAAGCCAAATGGCATAAAACAGACGAGAGGTGAGGGTGGGGGTGAGGGAAGGGGCCAGGAATCCACTCAGAAAAGCTAATAATTACTGATGTGAAACTGGGAGGGGAAGAAGGGAGATGCATGCAAGAGCAAGAATTCCAAAAAAGTTGAAATGGTGAGGGGAGAGAACTCCCACAAAGACCCTGGAGGACATCGGAGGTGAGTAGACAGCAACTGTTTCTTTTGTAGGGGACAAAGGAGGAGCCCCCACTCAGCTGCAAACTCTGGAGACTCAAGGCTGGGGTCAGGGGTTGGGGGCTCCCCAGAGAGCATCACAAGAAGGCGTCGCACCACTCTCGAAGGCACCCGAAGCAGTCCCGGGACTGCTTGGCATTGGCACCACATGTGTCCTTTAGCCATTCCCGGAAGAGGTCTTCATCTTTCTTTAGCACCAGAAACTGGCCAAGGACCACGTAGGCCTGCAACACAGGCAAAGTACAGGACAAGCTGCTCAGTGCTCTGAGACTGAAAACAAGGACACTTCTGTGCAGTTCTAAGCATATGAGCCTAGCAGTCAGGGCTGGCCCTGGCTGTCTCTTCAGAGTATGTATCACTGCCCACCCGCAAGAAGCAAACTCATTTCCCCACTCCCAAACTGCCATGCAATATTGCAGTCGGCCTCCCCAGCCCTCCCCAGCTGCACGCAGCCACCCACACCTTGTCAAAGCCCCTTTCCTCCAGCTTCTTGCCCAGGACTTCACCAATTCCAGCCAGGCTCCCCACTGGCTTTTCCCCCATGGGCTCTGCCACGAAGTCTCGGTGCTTTTGGGAGGTTGTCATCTCGATCAGGGTTAACCTGGGTATCCCAAGAAAAGGTAGATTAGGACTGAAATCCAGGAGCTCCCAAAGGCCCAATGATCCAAATCTCTTATTGTTCAGAGAAACCTAAACCAGCCATTATGGTGCCCACTCGACACCATTTCACAGATAAGAAAACTGAGAGCCAAAGGGAATCTCCCCTACTACTAGAGAGAGAAATCTCTTCCACTCCCCGCGGGAGGGGCATTTTGGGATTGCTCTAGAGGAAAGACTATCCTGCCCTATCAGGTGACGCACGCAGGGCAGTGGGGAAATTCCCAGTCAGCAACCAGGGCTCACCCTGAAGGTGTCACACTCTCTGTGACCTTGGCTGGCAAAAGAAGGCACTGACAGCCTGGAACAGCTACCTGGCCTGAAAAGCAAACAAAGGGTCTTCCTGTCCCACTCGCCCCACAGGCTGCTCACGGACGCACGCAACAGCGCGTCCACCTGCTCCCAGCCCCGCTGGGTCCACGCCTGTGCTCCCGCCACGCCCTGCCAGCACCGCCCCCTCCACGCGCCGCTGCGCCCACGCGCCGCGTCCCGCCGCCTAGCCCTCTTGGAGGGCCCATCCCTCGGCCGGCCGCAGCGTTTGCGACCCCTCTCCGCTCCTCCTCCGTGCACCTCCACTGTTCTCCAAACCAGGTCCTGCTCCGCGGCTGGCACTCACCGACAGCTTCAGCTACAGTAACGGCTCCTCCCGCCGCCCGGCTGCTCCCGCTAATACCTCAACCCACTAGAACTTTCTTCCACTTCCGCTTCCGGGTCGCCTCAAGAGCCGCCTAAATAGTTAAATTTGGTACTTCTAGCCCCTTAGAGCCATAGAGGTGAGGCCTTCTGGACCTCGACCGCCACCTTAGTAGGCGCTCCTTTTCGGTCCATTCGCGGGAAGTCGGGATCCCTTGTGTAGTCTCGGGACTCAGGTAGCGTTTCGATCTCAAGGAGCAGAAACTGCGGAGAAAACTTCATATCCCCACTGCACGGCGTCCGTTCCGGCCAAGGAACGTAGCCTTGGCCGTCCTGGCGGAGGGAAGAGTTAGAGGGACGGACAAGCCGGAAAAAGTGTGGCCGGAGGCTTACTGCAAAGCGCCGGAAGTACGGCGCTCGGAAGCGTCCGAATTAGGCCCACCCGAGTCGCTCTCGTCTCAATCGAGTTTTTAGGAGTGGGGCAGGAGTCGGGAGCTGACGACCCCGAGCCGACTCCATCGTTGTGACAGCCGGCAAGTTCCCTTTCTGAGCTTTCATTAGCTCGGCTGCGAAGTGGGTCGTGAGCCAGCCGCTCTCGGCGTCCAGCCTGGAGAACGGGGTCGTTCAGGCAGCGCCCGCGGGAGAAGAGGGTCAGAAAGTAAGTGTGGGTCTCTCTCAGAGCGCCTTTCCTCCGGAACAGGGAAGGGAGGAAGGCCGGGAACGGCATCTAGCGGTAGCACTTTGGAGTTTCTTTTGAAAACCACCAGTCTTGGCGGTGCGAGTCCTTGTCATCCTGAGAACCCAAGTCAGAAATAGAGCAGATTCCTTAAACCAAGGCGGCCCCCCTCGCCCTTTACTGAACTCGCCCCTGGCTCGGACCGTTGCGGTGGTCTCCTGACTGCTCTCTGCCTGCTCTCTGCCTGGAGTGTGTTGAGAGATTGTGTATCTGTATTGCGTAGCTGTGCTACCCTGGGACGCACAACTATGTTGAGGAAGATACAGTTTATCTTTCCCTTCCTGATCGATTGCCAGAATGATTTCGTTTTTGTGATTACACTACTACTTAGGACAACGTGTTATTCCTGCGTGTCGTACACAGTACTAAGTGCTTTGCTTACATCATCCCATTCTAATAGCAATGTTCTGGGCCAGCGATTCGTTTTCTCAGAGGCCTAGAGGAGTTGAACAGTAAGGGTCGTCAACGTGACAAACGGGGAGAGAATTGTGAGTTTATTGGACGCAACCTGTCAACATACTCCAGGGAGCCAGATTTTGAGTGCTCTCAAAGTTTACAGTTTTTCGGTTTCTTTTATGCACTTGAAATTGAGGAAGCCAAGGAGATTACATGAGGGTAGGAGAAAGTCAGGAATTGAATTACAGTATAATTAGCAAGATTGTATGTTCCTTGAGCTTGATCATGCTTTCCAGGGGTGTTACTTGGCTGCCTTAAAAACCTTTTACTGCCCTGACCAGTGTGGCTGAGTTGGTTGGGCATCATCCCTCAGAGCAAAGGGTCACCAGTTCAGTTCCTGGTCAGGGCACATGCCCAGGTTACAGATTCAGTCAGTTCCCAGTCATGGCACTTAACAGGAGACAACCAACTGATGTTTCTCTCTCACGTTGACATTTTTCTCCTCTTTCTCCATCCCTTCCCCTTTCTCTATAAATAAAGAAACAAACAAATAAATAAATAAAAGCTTAAAAAACACTGAAGAAGTTACAGGCCTGAGGCACAACCACTCACCATGACATGCTCATTTAGGAACACCCTGGGAGGTTACTTCTCCTTAGAACCCCCCCTTTTTTTTTTTGTCCATAGGAAATAGTCAGGGTAGGATTTCAGTGCAAGCAATTAGATTTCAGAGCCCACGTTCTTAACCAGGACATTGTGTTACTCAGTAAAAAGTCCCTTCCCATCTTCAAAACAGTCCTGGATTCTCACCCTGCCATCCAAGAAACTCGGGAGGAAAAGTCAACAGCTTCTGTGTCCCTCACCGCCCTGGGATAGGACCCAGCATGTCTCAGGCCACCAAAAGGAAGCATGTGGTGAAGGAGGTGCTGGGGGAGCACATGGTGCCCTCTGACCAGCAGCAGATCGTGAGGGTGAGTAGCATTGGGCACGAGCTCCTGCTAGGCCCCTAGGGTGGGGGAAGGGTGCAGTGCAGCTCACCGAGTCTTTGAGCTGGCTGATGAGGCCTACCGGCTCTTGGTCTCCTGGATCAGGTACTCAGGACCCCAGGGAACAATCTGCATGAGGTGGAGACAGCCCAGGGGCAGCGCTTCCTGGTGAGCATGCCCTCCAAGTACCGCAAGAACATCTGGATCAAGAGAGGTGAGAGAGGCAGCCCTCTGGGAGATAGAAGCATTCCTTGGCACCTTGGCTTCCACTACTGCCACTGCAGGCTGGATTGACTATACTTTTTCTCTGCCTGCAGGGGACTTTCTCATTGTTGACCCTATTGAAGAGGGAGAAAAGGTGAAGGCTGAGATCTCCTTTGTGCTCTGCAAAGACCATGTGCGCTCTCTGCAGAAGGAAGGGCTCTGGTAGGTGGTCCCCTTAGTCATTGGTTGGCTGATTTCTGGGAACACTGACTTCCTAGCTGTGAAATTGGGGGAGGAAGATCATGACATCACAGGCAGCCGGAAACAGTTTTTATGCTGAGAGCTGTCTTCTGTTCTTTCTGACCCTGGCTTTTCCCTTGACACAGGCCCGAGGCCTTCTCTGAAGTGGCTGAGAAACACAACAACCACAGAAACAGGTTAGGATCAAGCTGTGGGGTAGGGAAGACAGCAAATGGGGCATTGGGCTTTAGTGCCTGGAGGGGGGAATAAGGCCTTTCTTCCTGTGAGAGCTCCTACATGTGGCCTGAAAGTTAGGTGCTGTGGATTAAAATCGGGGTTTTCCCACTTATAAATGGGGGACTTTAAGCAGGCTACCTAATCTCTTAAGCCTGGGTTTCCTTACCTGTAAAATGGGAGCCTCTCAAGGATTAATGGAGCTTGTAAAATTGCCGGTAGAGTATCTGGCACACAGTGTAGGTCCGTTGCATGTTGGTAGTAGGGTCGTTATCATTAAAAGCATTGACTCTAGTAAACTTTTGAGGTATGGGGATGAGTGGTCTTTAGCCTGTTTTCTTTGGCTGAGTTTTTCTGCTTTTTGCTCTAACTCTGCCCCTGTCTGAGTCACTGAGCCCTGACTACTTGGCCCTAGGGGTCCTGCTTTTTGTGAGGCTTCTTGATAGCAGATCGGGCTTTCCCAGAAGGCATTGCGCTAACTCCGTTTTTTTTTCCCCTGCCGTGAAGACAGACCCAGCCAGAACTCCCAGCTGAGCCACAGTCATCAGGAGAAGAGTCCAGCTCTGAAGACGATTCTGACCTCTTCGTTAACACCAACCGCAGGCAGTATCACGAGAGTGAGGAGGAGAGCGAGGAGGAGGAGGCGGCCTGAGACCCCAGGACGTACTCCTGTTGCTCAGAGACTGTCTGTGGCTCCTCTGAGCTTGGACATTCCAGGGTGCTCTGCAGATCTTCCCCCCTGGATGGGGACGAGGCAGGACCCCTTTCTGAACTGGCCTTCTGACCTGGGAGAATTAAACCCCTGGTGGGTGGCGACGTGTGCTGGTGTCCAAGTGGCTGTCTGGGGTGGAGGCCTCGTGGGCAGGTGGGCTGAGTGGGCAGGAAGTGGGGACGGCTGCAGTCTTTTCTCAGTTCTCTCTCTCTCTGTGGGCATGTAGTAAGGGGTGGGTTCTTAGCAAGTGTCAGGCCTTACGCTGTTCCTCCTTGCATGTATTCAATAACTGGGGGCAGTCCCGCTTCTTCCTGCTCATAATCCGCACTGATTCAGGATCACAGCCATAGGGCCTGGTCCCTGTTACCTCTCAGAAACACTCAGGATGAACTTCATAGTGCCTCATGAGCTGCTGTCCCTGCCTTTCTAGTCACCTGTGGCTGCCGGAGTGCCCACCTCCACGCGGCTATGTACGTCCCCTGGTCACTGGGCCCTTGTGGCAGCTCGGACTGTCGCTCCTCAGCCCTCTTGTGAACCACATCATCTCACTTGTGGGTAGTTTTGTTTTTTAACCTCTGGCTATACACGCTCCCTCCTCGTTGCTGGCATTGACCTTTTCTTTTAAGATTTTATGTATTTATTTAAAGAGAGGGGAAGGGAGAAAAAAAGAGGGAGAGAAACATCAATGTGAGAGGGAAACATCTACTGAGCCCACAACCCAGGCGCGTGCTCTGACCGCGATTGAAGTGGTGACCCACCACAAGGCGGAAGGTCACTCACCCAACTGAGCCACACCGCGCAGCTGGCCTTGGCCTTGGCCTTCTCGCCACTGCTCGGGCATCGGAGAGCTTGTCTCCCGGTGTGGAGTGTTTTTCTTCTTTCATCTTCATTTCCTACGTCCCGTGGAAGGGCCCACGCAGCGCTACGTTCCTTCAGTTCCCTGGGATCCCATCGCCAATGCTCTTGTCTTCTGATCCGCGCCTGCTGCCCACGCCCCTCGTCCCAGGACCCCTGACATCAACACAAACTGCAGCACCTTTTAAACTCGGGCACCTGTGCAATCACCACCTCCTGGCTTTCTTGCTCACTTGCTCAACTCCCGCCTCTGCAAAAATTTTTTATCTTCATCCTCCATCCCCACCACCTTCTCACCATTATTCTATCTTCAGTCCCCTTGTGCAACACAGATTCCGTGGCCACACCCTCCCCTCCCTTGTCTTCCTCCACTGTGTGGATCCATTCAGACCTAACGCCAGCCAACCCAGTCATTTGTCCCTGGGCCTGTTGCTGTTAGAGCAAACTGCCAGTTCGGCTCTCTGGTTTTTCCTTAAATTCATCATTACAAACTTCAGATGGACCCTCAGCACCGCCTAGCAGATGGACTCGGATGTATATCAACACTTCTCATCTTGTCTGCGCTCCCGCTTCCTCTGCTGGTTACCACAGTTTACCCTTCATGTAGAAGTGGTAGCCAGCCCCCGCCCAGTGGGTTGAAGCATCGTCATGTAAACTGAGGTTGTGGGTTCGATTTCTGATTGAGGCACGTGCCTAGGTTGTGGGTTTGGTCCACCATTGGGGCATATATTAGAGGCAACCAACGGATGTTTCTCTTACATCGATGTTTCTCTCCCTCTCTAGAACCAATAAGCATGTCCTCGGGTGAGGATTAAAAAAAGAAGTAGAAATAGTAGCCATTGGTGGGAACTCTCACCTCCCCTCACCGACCCTACAAACGTACCCATGGATCTGCCCGTCTTTTTACTTACGTTGTAGTTCAGCGGGACTTCGGCCTTCCCTCATTCACCTGCTCCTCACTCACATTCTCTTACGTTTGCTTGGTGTGGCTTTCGGTGTATACACACATATATATACTTGTTTGTATGTGCATGTACGTGTTTAAAAATGTCTCCGTACACAAAAACCCAGATGAGGTGGAGGTATATATATATGTGTTTTTTAATTTGTGTTTATTTTTTATGGGAAATGACTAACTTTTCTTGTGAAGGGGTAGCTGCTTATTCCTGTACCATCTGTTGAATGGCTCATTCTTTCCTCACCAATTTAAATACCTTCTTAAAATAAACTGCATTTTTGCGTATATGTGTACGGGTATCTTTGAAATTTCTAATCTGTTCTGTTGATCTGGCGCACATTTTCTAGCATGATCGATGCGGCTCCCTCATCCCTGCCCTGCTTTCCTTGAAAATGTCCTCTTTTTTTGCGTATGAACTTGAGAGTGGGCTTGTCAGTGTTCATTCAAAAGTCCCGGTGAGGTTTTCATTGGCATGAATTTAAATCTTATAGTTTGATATGGAGAGAAGTTCTACCTTAACACTTTTGAATCTTTAAAAAAAAATTTATTTACTGATTTTTAGAGAAACATCAATTTGTTCCGTTTATTGATGCATTCATTGGTTGATTTTTGTATGTGCCCTGACTGGGGATTGAACCTGCAATCTTGGCGTATTGGGACTGACGCTCTAGCCAACTGAGTTACCTGGCGAGGGTTCCTGAATCTTCTTACCCGAGAATGAGGTTATATTTGTTCTGTAAAATGTTGTCTTCATACAGGTCTCTAATGTTTCCAGTTCAATTTAGTCTTAGGATTCTTAAGAGTTTTTTTACTGTTATGAATGGGTCCTTTGAAATTACGTTTCTAACCATCGCTGGTGTATACAGCAAGCTGTCGCTCTTTGTGGGCTCACCTAATTGGTCTAATTGAATTTTCTAAGACTAATTCACTCTTCGGTTGATTCTCGTCTCTTTCTGATTCAAAGTCAAATCTCCTGCATTGGGGACAGAGGCGTCTGATCCTTGGTGCCCATTTCTATTCTGTGGGTTGTGGGGGCTGGGACCCCAGCACAGTCTGAAGGGCGCCCTTGTTTGCTCCTCTGCCCGCAGGGGTGGGTCTCGTGTTTCAGGCAGAAATCCGAGTCTGTCTTTAGGCTCCTGGTAAATAACCCTCATGGGGCTGAAGGTGTCTCCGGTTCTAGCTCACGGCGGGGTTTTTCCTTTAGTCAGCACGTCGTGATGAATTTTGACATTTATTGATATGATCAGAAGATTTTGTTTTATTGTACTGACTTTGATAAATAGGTTTCCTAATGTGGAACTGTTTCACATTCTGATATAAACCCTGCTTAGTTTTACAATATTTATTTAGTTGGGGTTTTATGGCTTTCTCTAGGCCAGTTTCACTTTTTGTTTCAGTGATCTGATCTCCCTGCCGCATTTTGATAACCATTATGCTAGCATGTGGAATGGGTTTAGACACATGTCATCTTTTTTTTCCAGCTTGGACTTCTAGAAAGGAATGATTTGTTTCTTTAAAGTTTGGTAAAATGTATTTATAAAAACATCTGTGCTTGATGCCTTTATTTATGGGTGGATCTTTGCCTTTTAATTTTTTGACTCAAGTTTTCTCTTTTTGCATCAATTTTGATCACTTTTTTTTTTGAGAATCATATTTGATTTATATTTAAGGTTTGGGGGCAAAAAGTCATGCATAGTAGTTTGTATGTAGGGTTTTTGTAAATTACTTATAAAGCGACAAAGTCTCGTTCGAATCAGCAGGAGCAAAAGAGCGCTTTGAGCCAAGGTGTAAGAGCAGAGCTTTAGGCGGAGCTCACCCAGGCCCGGCAGGACCCCACCCAGGCTCCCTCTGTGGTTATCTCTCGGGTTATTTCTGCTCCTCTCAGTTGATGATTCCTTTCTCCCTACAAGTGTTTTCCTCGGGAAAGTCCTATCTCCTCTCAGTCCTTACAAAGGGTTCCTTAATCAGGATTCAGGTCCCTAGGGAAGACCCGCTGGCTTGGCTCAGTCACTTGCCCTCTCCTGAGCAGTCACTGTGACCAGTGCTGAGTAGGGAGGTGGGGGACTGGGGGGAGGCGAGATGAGCCACACCTGATCCACATGACCTGGTTCCTGTACCAGCAAAAGGGACACGGAGAGAGAGCAAATCAGACCAGCAGGGATCTGTCCTGGTTTCTGTGTATTTTCTTTGACTAGCTTTGCAAAACTAGTCTTTTCCTGTTTCTTTGGGTTTATTTTCTCACTTTTAGCTTCTGAGCTGCATGTTTTACTGAATTTCAGTCTTGTTTTTCCTCATATTTAGGGCTGTAAGTTTCCCTCTGAGCACTCCTTTGAGTGATTGTTTTGGCATTGTGTCTGCAAGCTAGGCCTTGCGTTTTCCTCCAGCTCACAGCAGTCCTGCTACTTACCTAACAGACTCTCCTGCCCTGAAATCTTTTCATCTCTAGCCCTGGCCGGTGTAGCTCAGTGGATTGAGGGCGGGCCTGCGAATCAAACCTTGTCTCCGTGTCTCCATCTTGTATCAGCCACGTAGCTCCTGGGGGATTGTAGCTCAGAATCCTGGTGGAGGTAGAGTCCTTGTGTTCTGCATGCCTCTCCCCTTTGCCATTCTCTGCAGCTCATTTCCACCTCTGTTCCCAGCTCCGTGGTGGGTTCCCACTGCGTGAATAGATCTCCCAGAATGAGCCGAGTGCCCTGAACACCCTTCCCCTCTCCCAGGTGCTGTGGAAGGTCCTGGCACCTGGTTGCTTGACAGTTCTGGTCCCTGCTGCAGTCAGGCTTGAGACTTGCGGCCCGCCGGCCTCTGCACCTCTGCCCCTTTAGGACCAGCCGTCTCAGCCAGGTCGACTCCCCTTGGGCAGGCAGCCCAGCTTGCAGCCCGGCAGGCAGCCCAGCTTGCTTTCTTCCCATGTCACCCAGCCACCCAGACACAAGTTGGGGCGGAAGTAGGCTGACAGTTGTGAGTATGTGAAACACAGAGTTTGTTCTCATGTTACTATTTGGTCATTATTGCATTATATTCCACACGAAAAATGGAAACCTGCTTTTGCCCCACCCTGTGCGTGCGCCAAGGAGCCCACGTGGCCACCCAAGCTGGCCGAGTGGTTTTTCTCCTTCAGTCCGTGGATGTGGCAAGATAGCAGGACACAGTTTCTCACGTTAGAACACCCTTGCAGTCCTGGAATAAGAGGGTCATGGCGTGCTCTTCAGTGTATTGCTGGAGCTGGTCTTTGGTGTTTGGGATGTCGGCATCCAGGTTCATGGGGGAGATGGCCGGAGCTCCCCCTTTCCTGTACGGCTCCTGTCTGGCTTCCCTGTCAGGGTGGTGGCCGCCTCCTAAAATGACCCGGAGAACATTCTCTAGTCTTTATTTGCATTCCACATGCTTGTAGAAGATTGGAATTTTGCACTTCTAACACTTCTGATAATACTTGCTATAAAAGCAACTGTGCTTGGCATTTGGGGAATGGTGGGTGGATTTTTAACTTTAGGTTGTTATAATAATGGATTGCTCAGGTTTCTGTTCTGGAATCAGTTATACTTTCAAGGAACAATGTTTTCATATTTCCTCATTTTATTACCTATGGGTTTAAATTTGTTGGCACAAAATTGTTTGTGGACCGGCCTTATGTTTGTAGTCTTGACTGTATCCCAAATTATATCTTATTACTTATATGTAATATTACTCCCTTGTGATCCCTCTTCTTTCTATGTTGTCGATCTCGGCAGATGTTTATTTATTAGTCTCTTCCAAATACCAGCTTTCTGTTGTCATTCCTCTTCGTCGTTGGCTTCCTTCCATTTGTTTATTCCTGCTCTTGTTCCGTTCCCCTGCACTCACAGGCTCCCTTTGGGTTTATTCTGTGGTTTTCTAACCTTTCTGGTTGGGTACTTAGCTCATTAGTGTTCAGCTTTACCTCCTCACCCACCCAAAACTATAAAGGGAATTTTCAAACCTAAAGAATTGTAAAATAAGTACCTAGAATACCCTTCATCAGGGTAGAACATTTGCATATTCTCTATCTCTGTAGACACAACATACATGATTTATATATTTAACTGTTACATCTCTTTAGTCCTTTTTAATTTAGAACAGGAGATGCCGTAATATATTTTTGTTCTTTATAAAATGGACTCGTGGCAAGTGCCCTCCAGCTACCGTATAAAAATGCCCTGCATTCGGGTTCGTGTCGTCGTTTGTGTGCTCAGATTTGGGTGGAACGGGTCACGAGGCGCACGGAATGGGGTCCAGCTCACACTGATGCGCGGCTAAAGGGGCCGTGCCCCGCCCACGCCCTCTAACGGCGCCGTCCTCCCTTTGCAGGCAGGTAACCTGTGAGTAGGCTAGTCTCCCTGATGCTGCTCTACCCACACTGGTATCTCGTTTTCTAAAGTTGTACTAAAATACACATAGCATTTACTGTTTTAACCACTTTAAAAAGTACAGTTTAGTAGCATTACGTACATCTACGTTATGGTGCCACCCGTCTCCGGAATGTTTTTATGCGCGTTAACAACTCCCGTCTGCCCCTGCCCCGCCGCAGGCCCTGACGGCCACCCTCTGCTTCCTGTTGCCAGGAGTTTGACTGGACGGCCTCAGATGAGTGGGACCACACGGTGTTTGTCTTTTGTGTCTGGGCTTGTTTCACTGGGTCCTCGGCTTCATTTGCAGTGTAGCATGTGTCAGAATTTCCTTCCTTTTTCTTTTTAAAGATTTTAATTTATTTTTAGAGAGAGAGGAAGGGAAAGAGAAAGAGGAAGAGAAACATCAATGCGTGGTTGCCTCTCACACACCCACAACTGGGAACCTGGCCCACAACCCAGGCATGTGCCCTGACTGGGAATTGAACCCACGACCCTTTGGTTTGCAGGCCGTTGCTCAATCCACTGAGCCAGGTCAGCCAGGGCAGAGTTTCCTTCCCTTTTTAAGGCTGATGATATCCCACTGTGTGTGTGTCGATATGCCACGTTTGACCTCCCCATGCACCGTCAGCAGACCATCAGCAGGCAGTGGGATTCCTTCCACCCTTGACCACTGTGAATAACCCTGCTCCGAATATGGCGGTACAAGTGCCTGCCAGAGACCTTGCTTTAGTTTTTTTGGATATATGCCCAGAAGTAGATTGGCTGTACCATATAAAGTAGATTGGCTGTATGATATGGTAATTCTATATTTATTTTTTTAAAGATTTTAATTATTTATTTTGAGAGAGAAGGGAAGGGAGAGAGAAAGAGAAACATCAACATGTCAGAGAAACAGATTGATGCTTCTTGCGCCCCCAACTGGG